AAAGGTGTTTCCTCAGCGGAAACGCATCGTGCCCCCAAGGCCGTGGGTCTGAACGATCTGGTCGACATCCTGCGCACCTCTACCAAGCACAGCCAGACGGGCAAGAAGCTTAAGAACATCCAGGGCAGCAAAAAGGTACTCGAGAAGCCGCTGGAGAAACCAGCAGCAGATCGCATTAAGCGAACCATTGGCTACGAGGGAGTGACCAAGAAGCTCGGTCGCTGGGATGCAGTGGTGGCTCAACAGAGATCTGCGGAGACGCAGGTAAGTGTATTTCAATGCTTTCTGTTAAAGATATTATTTTCAAAACATATTATAGGTCTTTCCCTTACCCTCTGAAACGGTTTACGTGAACACTTCGGCGAATACACGATCCCTAAACACACGGATCAAATCCAATCTTGCTAAGGAACTCGAGGCTAACAACCTTAAACTTCGGGAACTGCGCAAAGCACAAATTGGAGACACCACGGATGAAAAGGAGCTGGCCAAGCAGGAGCGGCTTTTACTGCAAAAGAAGCTTACCCGGGATGAGCTCTTCGCCCGTCGCAAAGAGCTGGCTTATTTAAAGATGCGCGAGTCTCAAAAGTCAGCAAAGGCACGCATGCAGAACAAAATCAAATCGAAAAAGTTCCACAAGCTGCAAAAGCGTCAAAAAATGCTGGAGCAGATGAAGGAGTTCGAGTTGCTGCAGAAAACCAATCCGGAAGCGGCATTAGAAAAACTTAATGCCCTGGAAAAGAGCCGAGTGCAGGAGCGAGCTAGCCTGCGGCACAAGAACACCGGTACTTGGGCTAAGAATCTGCAGATACGGGCCAAATACGACAAGGATGTGCGAAAGGATCTTGCCGAGCAGTTGGCTGTTAGCAGGGAACTGACCCAGAAAAAGCACCAGTCAGACAGTGAAGATGAAACCACGAACAAGAGAGTGGTTCCCGAGGAGGAGGAGAATGACTACGATCCCTTTAATCCTTGGACAAAACGAAAAGCTACTGAGCAAACGGAAAATGGAAAAGGTGAAAGTGAGGATGCCAATTGGCGACAATATTGGACAAAAAGGAATAAAAATGAAAAGTTACTAGAAGAGCATCGTAGGGATGTGAAAGAAATCCAAGATAACGACGACGAGGAGGAGAAGGAAGCTATGCAAAAACCATTAACCGAAGTAAGAGCTGCCAAGAAGAACCCTAAGATATCGAAAGTTAAGATAGAAAATGGCTGGCAAGTGGAAGATATTAGCCCAACTGATCAGAAAAAAGTAAAGGGAAACACGAATTCGAAAGCCATTGATGACATTTTTGATAAGCACGAAGATCAAATCAGAGCCAAACTAACCAAGAAAATGGAGAAACTTAAGGAAAGGGTAAACAAACTTAAAGAAGCCCCCGTCAAGGGAAAAAAGACCAAGAAGAAGGACGTACTGCAAAACCTTAAAAGTCTGGCTTTAAAAAAGAGCAAGCAGCAGGTGGAGATTGACGAGCCGCTTAACTACGAGGAGGATAAAGATTCACAGAATATTATCCCTGCCCCATTGGAAGGCAACTCAGAAACACCAGTTGTGGATACCATAGATCCCAACAAGGTAACAACTTTATTGTTCACCCAAAAAAAGAACAGCTCGGGAGGCCTTAATGATGCTCTGATAGACGATGAAGCAGCAGAATACGACGAGGAAGACGCGGCTGCTGAACGTCAGTTGACAATCAGTCAGGCCTTCGAGGACGATGACATTGTAGCTGATTTTAATCGGGACAAAAGCAAGGACTCCGAGCTAAAGAACACTGAGCTTCAGCTGGCCCTTCCTGGATGGGGTTCCTGGGCGGGTGCTGGCATTTCGAAGGAGGTTATGGAGCGACGAAACAAGCGGCTTCTTCTTAAGTTGGCTGCTCCAGAAAAGCGTCGTGACGAAAACAAGGATAATCTTTACCTCAACGAGTCGGCCAGCAAGCAGGCACGCGAGCACATGGTCTCCAGCATCCCATTCCCTTTCCGATCCCTAGCAGACTACGAAGCCAGTATCCGTGCCCCAGTTGGCCGGAACTTTGTGCCAGAGACAGCCTTCCGCATGCTGACTCGTCCGGCAGTCATTACGCGCAAGGGTCAGGTAATTGAGCCTATGGCGGAGAGCGAGCTGGTCAAGCCGGACAGGCGCCTGCGTCACATTGTGGACAGGAGGATAAAGCGCATACCGAAAGTGCCACCCAAGGCCAAGATAGCATAGAACCAGGAATAGTTTAATAAAAATAAATCGGAATTAAATGAATGAAACGATTGTCATTCTCATATTTTATTTAGCGTTAAAAGGAAGTTTTTTTTTTATAAATTGCATTAGTTTTCCAAAATTGTTTCCTATTTTTGTTACCGTTTTATTGCTATAAAAAGTACATGAACACTGGGAAATTTAAAATTTGAATTCGATAGATTTTTGTATTACCGTGCGCAATGTGACCAGATTATTGGTATCCATCAAACGATACCATGGCGTTAAGTTTTTAGGTATTTTATGGAGTTTCTCACGGACGGCAAGCACATTTTGGAATTAATAATTTCGCAGGTTATTATTGTGTTTACCAAACGATTTTCGCCGCGGAAATGTACGAACTGAAGACCCTGCTGCCGCAATTCGACATCAAGCTGCCCACCTGCATGTATCACCTCAAGAACGTGAGCCTGGCGGCGGATCCCCTGGCCAGCGGCTCCTCCACATCCGCCACCACATCCGCGTCCACATCATCATGCGTAAGTTGAATTGGCAGGCCAATGAGAAGTTGCTCGGGTCGCAAGGACAGTGAATTAACGACGTATGTCTACAACGCCACATCCATTCCATTCCCGCATGTGTGATCCTTGCCAGAAATTGGAGGCCAACTGGATCAGCAAAACAGGGCGAAACGCAGCCACATGTGCACTTGATTTGGACTCTTTAGGCCGACAAATACAGCGACTGCTAAAGGTTAAGACCACCAAACTAAAATACGAAATTCTATTTATAAACCACCGACTAACAAAAAAAGAAAAACTCAGTACCAGAAATATTTATAATGCATCCATGCTTCGTTTGTGTGTTCTTGTGGCCTTGGACTCTGAAACTCGTTGTGTTCTCTAGCATATCCTTATTCTGTGCTTTTACCTTCAGGACGATACGGCATCAGTGGCTGCCCGCCAGGAGAAGGTTCTCAAGCAACTGGAGGAGCTCAAGGCGCAGCTGGGTCAAATCCGGGCAGGACTCGGAGTTTGCGGCAAGACCTTCCAGCACACGACTGCCTTCCAGAATGGTGGATTAAAGGAGGTACGACTCTATTAGTATGTCAAGGTCAAGACTAGGTAACTTAGTTCATAAGTAGAGTTGCTACTCCCGAAAATCTTCAATGACTTAAGATAATAATATTTAGAAGCTGATGCAATAAGATTTAATTATGTGTAACAAAGCTTTGCAAAAATGAATTTTATAACCTTTAAGGCATATTCAATTATAATTATAATGTTTTAAATAAATGAACAACAGGTGCCACTGCAGGATGTCGTCATCAATGGACATCCCAACTTTATACCCTATGCCTTGTTGGCCTTGAAGAACGCCTGGCGTGATCTGTACACTATTGATGTCAAGACCTTTACGCACTCCACGATGGCCGACATTGGACCAGCAGCTCGGGAATTCGAGGCCAACTTGGCGAAGATTCCAGTAAACCCAGCTTTGCCCAAGATTAGTGTGACGCTCATTTGGAAGAACTGTGAGTATGAGAAATGGCTTATCACCACAACCTACATTTCACTAGCAAAGTAACCTTCATGTTTATATTAATGTGGAATTACCTGATCTTGATTCCCATGATAAACATTCAAACTAGTTTCCTAACCCCTCCACGAAGTACGAATACTGATTATGCAATACCTTCCAGGCGAACACACCGAGATGATCAGCTCGCCCACCATGTACGTGCCCATCTACGGAGAAGTTAACATCATTCGCTATCTGGGCCGTGTGGGTCCAGCCGAATATCGCTACGAGGGCTCTCCGCTCTGCAATGAGATCGACCTCGTCCTGGACATCTGCTACCAACTGCTGCGCTGCAACACGCACAAAACGCAGGTGGCTATGGTGCGCCTGCTGGACAAACGACTGCAGAAACAGCAGTATTTCGGTGGATCCCAGATGTCGGTGGCCGATATTGGAGTCTATAGCTCACTGATACGCATGCCGGCTATTACCGATAAGGATCTAACGCCTGCGCTTTTGGCTTGGAGGAAAAGGGCTAAGCTCGTGGTGCAAATTTAAATACCTTAATCGACAAAGGCGAACAAATAAATTGTAGAATTCAATGTGATGGAATGAGTGGTTTTGTCTACCCTTTACTTTCTTTGAAAGACAAAAACATTTACTCCCAACCAATTCAAGGACCATCGTTTTTTTCCGTAATTTTATTTGGCTTATTTATCTTTGTTGCAATTCTGTTACTGTTTGAACAATGCGCTTCATCGTTTCTATATTGCAATAGCTGGTTTTAAACTTACTTTGTCAACTTTGCACTTAAAATTGCTTAATCGCTAGGTTCCATATTTGCTTTTATTCTTGAAATCCATTCATTGTTTATTATGTGTATGCTGTTCTTGATGCTGTGTCATTATGTACGATAGGATGCCGCGTCGCGAATTGGGACATTTGTATTTCGTTTCCGCTCATAAAAATGTGTGTATGTATATTTTTAAATATTAAATACCTAGTACATATGCTGTGTATATAATCATGTATATTGATAATCAGTTTCGGTTTGAGTTTCTTGTGTTATCGGTTTTATTTTTGTTTCTGTGTTGCTAGCTGCGTATAAAGGATTTGGAGAAGTCCCTGAACTCTTAATTGCTTGCCCACAGGCTGGGAATTGAGTTAGCCCGCGTATACCTGTAGCTTATATGAATCATCTTAGTTATCAAAGTAAAATTGAGTAGATAAAATCAGCTTAGGACCATTGTTTCGACTACCCTCGTATAAACTTGGTAAATAATTGTTTTCTCAGTTGTTCGGTTTAGTTTTGAAACGTTTATAATTAGAATTAATCATAGTAATAATGTTGGAGAAATGAAAAGGCGGTGGCTCGCCGCCTTGGGCAGGAGTGGGAGGAAGAGATGACGCGACTCTGGCCTGGCTGCATTATGTGGTCTCGCCCTTGCCGCTGTCGTCAGCGGATTCGGCATCGTCCGCTCCGGCAGCGGCCGCCTCCCTGCCCAGCCCGTTGTTCTTGCACTTGCTGCTGCCTCCATTATTTTTGCTAATCGGCGCTGTGGCACTGTCCTCATCCTCATCCTCGTCCTCATCATCGTCGTCGTCCTCATCGAAGTCATCATCAGATGGCAGATCATCCTCCGTCTCCAGATCGAAATCATCATCATAGAAGTTGGCATCCAGGCCAGACTCCGTTGTGGGCTTGCGCGTGGGCTTCAGGCAATAGTCCTCTAGGGTCATCGGCACCACAATGCCCTCCCGCTTGGCCTCGGCATTGGCGGCCAGTGCCTGTTTCCGTATGATGTTGGGATACTCATTGTCCTTACCCTGAAATCAGCAAGTCCTTATTAAAGAGCCAAGTAGCGTTTGTAAATGTCTAGTATACGGACTTCAAGCGTTGCCTTATTTAATTTAATTGATGGCTTAGTCTTCTTTATAATATTTAACACCCATAAATAAAATAATAACTATTAGAAAGGTTGAATGAGTTACATTTAATAAATTCGTATGAAAAGAGAACGTACGTAATGTAATACTGGAAATATGTACGTTTCAAGAACAAAAATCAAGGCGTGCAATTAAAAGTGAACGAGCAAATTAAAAAAAAAGAAGCATTGAAATTGGCCTTGAGATCAAATTTGCTAAAACTCAGTAAACTAGATCTGGGCCTACCAACTAAAGTAGGTTGTAAAACAGTCAATGCAAGATCTGCTTCATATTCTCAAATAAAAATTTATAAGTTTTGCATCGCTTTCAAAGTGAGAAGTCCGCATACTAGACATTTACTATGACTAGAAGAGCCAGTCTAACCTGTGAGTCCCGCCATCGGCGGTACATGACCGAGGCGTCCACGTTGGCCGGCGAGAATGTGTTCGGCTCGTTGAGCAGCGATATGACCGACAGCAGGATGGTGCGCACATTCTGCGTGGGATTCCAGCGCTCGCAGGGCAGCTCCCCGCTCTGCGGATCATCCACCGGCGGATGTAGTATGGATATGCACAGATCACCGTTCTCGTAGACATTTGGGTGCCAGACCTTGGTCAGGAAGCGTATGGATGGCGGTGAGTATGGATAGTCGTGCGGGAACTTCATGTGCGCCTTGAAGTAGCCGCCTTGGTAGAGGGTGTCCGGTGGCCCGAAGATGGCCACCTCCCATTCGAACAAATTGTCGTCGTTGATCAGCTTGACGCGGAATCCCTCGACCGGCTCTTCCTGCAGTGACTTGTACTCCATGGCCAGGGCGCGAACTGCCGAGCTGCTGGGCGTGGTCGTGGGGGCGGTACCGGCGGCGGACGACGCCATCATTGTGGAGGACGATGTCGCATGCTGCGATGTGGAGGCGGCGGTGGTCATTTGTTCAGCCACTTGCAGTTGTTGCCGTGCTCTGTTTGTGAAGAAGTTATCGGAATGCCGAGACATGTCAATATTTTGATTCAAATATGTGTTAAATGTCTACTATCTAAGGCAACCACTTTCTTGCCCGCGAGTGTCTATGTGCAGGGTCAATATCTTGCTGCCTGCTGATGAATTCAAGGTGAGCACGTCACAAAAGCGATGACTGTGCGGCTGCTTGAAAATACTGGGCTGGGAAAACTGCGAAATTTCGTCTAAAACCTAGTCTAGTTGTACGGGAGCATTGCGGGAAATATACTTCTATATTTGTCGTTTTTGAAAATGGGGAAAACTATTTTTGCTCTTGACGTTACTCTTGATTTTGTTGTTGTTACTTTCACAGCAGACAACACAGATTTAATTACCGATTGCCAAGCAAAACTTGAGTGGAAAATTGATTTCTATATAGCAAAGCCGACAGCCCGATTATACGTACTTGTGTGGGCAATTGTTTTTGACTTCTTAAACGCGTTTTTACTGATTTGTATTATTGTTGTTTGACTTGCAACAATTTCACTTTACAAAACAAAAACCAGGGTGTCATTATTTTAGCCAGGGATGGCCACGCTGAGTCTGCCGCTGAGAAGGTGGCGATTGCGCATGTTCTCGGCGCAGTACGAAAGGGTATGACGTCACAAATCCCGGCATTTCCGAGAAAATATTGCTCTATGAATTGGCAAAACTATCAATGTTTATTTAAATTAGTAATAAGGTATATATGATCAATGCATTTTCATATTGAAAAGATTTATATAAAAAAGATAACAAAAATCTGTAATATGTAGATAAATTGCACATGTTTAATATAATTAAATATAATTTATATAAGTTCATATTGTTCTGAAAAATGTTGACATACATTTCTAAAGCATCTCTGAATCCCTAAAGTTTTAATCGACAACCTTCTGATCTTTGCATGTCGCTTGAAAAAGTTTATAATACCAATAAGTTAGGTAAATTATGAAGGTACATTTAATATCATCCTACATTTGTAAAAACGTTATTATGAGTAATTATTTGATAAAACTAGTAATTCTATTTGTTTTTAATTCCATAATTCTCTTAAAAGCGATTTTCAAACTTAACGAACTTAACGAATACCCCTACTAACATAACATTTCTGTGGTAGTATTTTTTGAAATTTTGTGCCGGTATTTTAGCACGACGCGCTGAGCCTAAAGGTATTCCGCAGCTACCGCCGGATGGTCACACTCCGTTTTCAATATACAGCGAAAAAAGTCGTGCGTGCGGGCGAACGCAACAAAATAATTAAACACTCCCCGAAATAACACAACTAAACTAGTGCTTAACTAACCGAAAGTGACGCCAAACGCCGCGTTTTCAACAAACCCAAACGAAATGCGATAGTCGGGCGTTTAATTCAGCAAGCGAAGGGGCCAGAAGCAAGCAAAGGCAAAGCAAAGCTCCGAGGCGTTGGCCAAAAAGAAGAAAAGCGCAAAAGAAACGGAGAAACGGAGAAACGCAGTGGAAAAGAGAGACGCGAAAGAAGAGAAGAAAAAATGCATACAGCAGGAGTGGTGGCGATTTTTTAATCAAAGCTGGCTTTTCCAAGCTGCTCTTTTTGGGCTGGAACTGAAAACTAGGGCTGCGACGCGAAAAAGGGAGTCAGAAATAGTAAAAATCTGAACAACAATTTCCGAATATTGGGCAGGCGAACAATTTAGCATTCCAGCCAAGTGAACATGTTTGTGGCCAGCATAAAACCATAAAATCTGCCGAGCACATTTTCCTCTGCTCGCTGAAAAACTCGCCAGCACATACATAAACGCACACACACACACGCAAACATACACAGGCAGCAGGCAGGCAGAAAAACCATGTCCAGCTGGGCAGAACGCGTCCATAGGCGCGCCGCGGATTTGGGCAACGTGGTGACCTCCTGCGGCCACCCCGCCACCGCCCCCGCCTACCCGTACCGCCTCGAAAAGGTCAAATTCGGTGTGCCGCTGGAGGAGGTGTGCAAGCACAACAACAACATTCCCGGGCCACTGCTCGTCCTGATCCTCAAGCTGAACAAGGAGTCGCCGAACCGCCGCGATGTATTCCGCGCCCCCGGACACCAGGGCGCCATGAAGAAGCTCATACACTTCCTGCAGGCTGGTCGGCTGGTAAACGTGGACAACTATTCGGTGTTCACCATCGCCAGTGTGCTCAAGAAGTTCCTGCGCAAGATCCCCAATGGAATATTCGGGCGCAGCGGCGAGATGGAGCTGTTCGCCATCAACGATCTGCAAAACGAAGCCGAGCAAACGGAGCGACTGCACAGGTGAGTGGCAAGAAGGTGGGGCCTGCCGCTGGGGCAACCCAAAAGAATGGGGGTCGCGAAGATAGTATCAGCTACTGCAAAATTCATATACTCATATTCTTATTCATAAATATAAATTATAAATATACATAAATAAAGTAAATCTGTAATGAGATTTACACTGATTCAGCAAGTGCGGAATTTGATTGATAAGAAAAATCGAAAACAAGCCTTTGTTTTAGGGACGTATAAACAAGAATTTTTTAATTCAGTAAATATCAATTCGATAGGCGAATGATTCACCCATTCAAAAAACATATATGTTGTTGAAAGTCAATCTGTAATGCTTAAAGAATTTGAAATAGTTATTAAGCAAGCGGTCAGTAATCTCAGCAGTGAAAACCGTCATATGTACATATGTATATCAGGGACTAATTCAATGTTTAAATGAAATAAAAATAAAAATTCGTACATTTCGATAATTAAATGTCATGGGAGTCACTATAAATTTGGCAACGTCTTTAGAATGTATAAATTTAGACATTTTATAGGTTCTTCTTTGGAAACCATTACTGGTCATAAATTCTAATGTTTCTGACCAAACATAAGCGTTCCACAATACCATGAATTAATGCTAGACAAGTATGCAAGTAAATACCTGCGATTTCTTATTCAAAATGGTATTACCAATTACTTGGAACATTAGTATTCAGGTCGTGTGCCGGATTACAAGAATTTATTTACATGCTACTTTCCTGAGATTTATTTTTTGTATTTATAATTTTACAAGTTTGTAACGCACTTGCAGATCCTTTCAAGTAAACCAATGTTTTTCTCAGCTACTATTTTTGTGGCCTCGGTTGTGCGGCGCACACATAGACGTTTGCTTTTTGTTGTAGTGTAACTAGCTTGCGGTAAACTTGCTGAACCGGATCTTAGATGTACATATATAGATATAGATGTAGATTCGGTTGTTGCAGCCCCAAGAATCTTCAGGGGGAGTTAATTCACTGGAAAGCCAGCCTCTTGTTGTTTTGCTGCCTCTACTCTTGTTGTTGTTAAATCGGTGCTGTTCTTGTTGTTGTTTCTCGCCACTTGTTGACACATTTGTGTGGATTTTCACCAATTTTCACTTGAGCGTTAAGCGTTCGCTTAACCCTTAGATATGCCAGGCAATTTGCATAATTTGTGCGGCAGCAGAAAAAACAAGCAGTGGATGTTTGGTTTTATAGTAAACAGTATTACTTGCAAATATTGAACCAACATATGGTTGGTTTCCCTGAGATAAAATATACGTTAATGTAATATAATATCATATATAATAATAGAGGCTTTTTGTTACTTACAAATATACTAAACCTTAAATTTAATCAAACAATAGATCTTATCTTGCTGTTCATGAAAATTGCTTAAATTCCGATACAGAAGGCGTACTTCTTCAGAAGTACGTCGAGTTGAATGAATCAATCCTTTAAATTCCTACAAAGCATTCATTGATCTGCAGATAACTCAGCAAAGTAAAGCTTATAGAATTCCGACTGTATATGTATATATAATTAATTCGCTTTCCGATTTTCGCTGATTCACTGTGCAGCCTTGTATGGACTTTAAGAAACTTGGGATTGGAAATGTAAACAGAAGCCGCTGAAAGGGTTAAGCTTGGATTTCTTGACTCGCTTTTGGTTAACTCTCTGCCGTTGTTTGCCCATTTGCCCATTTGGCCACTTGGTCGTTTGTTGTTTTTCCTTTTGTTGCAATCGATTTCTAACCATCTGAATTAGAGCATAAAGCGTGGGCCAACACATCACAAAGAAACCAGCCCACGAACGCGGGCTCAATTAAAAGTAAACGAAATACTTAGCCGCTGCAATTTCTTCTTTAACTGAGAGGCCTGCCTGTAATTAAGAAATCGAACATTTATAGCCGATCGATTGCAATTGACGGGCCGAAATGATTTGTCTGTTTGGGCTTCCACTGGCGTTTGCCTAATTTGCCAAACACTCAGTATCTGATTGAGATGGATATGGGGTACGATGGGATACACGGATGGTAGATGCTTCTGCGTCAGCAGATCCATTGGTTACATTAAATGCCGAACACTAAACACTGAACACTGATCACTGAACACTGAAACGGCGATCGCTAAACGCCGAATGTGCGTGTAAACAAATAACGTCAGCAATAAAACATAAATTTAAAACTTCTACATGCGTAGAAATCGACCGCCAAATTATTTCATTTGGCGGGAAGCGCTCTTCGGGTGGGAAAAGCGAAAGGATTGGAAAACGTAAATTTTCAGTTTGGCAACCTGTGTGTTTCTCTACAGCAGGGGTTGAGCTAATAGCAGTGGGTTTAACTAAATAAAAATTAATAGTCGGAATTGGTTTGAAGTGTCCATTGAGAAGATTCAGTAGTTCATAAAACTATGAACATTATTAAAGAAAGGTTTATTTTAAATAGATTTTAAATTGGACAACTGCTATGCAGTAGTGATATCATATTTAAGCTAATTACGTGACTCAACATTTTACAAAAGTATTTAAATAAATTACATAAACAGTTAGCATCGTAAGTTGATATTCAGACCGAACATTGTTAAGTTTTGTTCATTGTACTATTTTCTTGACTGCTGCTGTGCGTGTGTGTAAACTTTTCAAACCTGTACAATTATATACACATTTGTTGTAATTGTTGTTGCTGCTGCGGCGTTGGCTACTTTTGTTTATTTACTTTTTGGGGGAAGGCGCAACAGCAGCAGCAGCAGCAGCAGAAACAGCAACAAGAACAACAAGAGGAGCAACAGCAATTACAACAACTGCCAGAGCTACAACAAAAACATTGGGCAATCACAATCGAATCAAATCAAACAAAATGCGCGAAAATAGCGCCTCTGCCGAAAGGAACAACAACAGCAACACCTTTAAAAATAGACACGCGTTGGAAACTTTGTATCAATTAAAAGTAAACGCAAAAATAGGAAGAGAGTGTGGAGAGGAGACGTGAGGAGAGAGGCGCAGATAGTGTTTAATTCCATCAGTTGGCACATCGTTTTTGTATTTGTGTATTTTCCAGCTGCTGGCCTTTTTGCTGTTGTTGTTGCTGCCACTATTATTGCAGCGGATCGACGTCATTGTTGCACGTTTTTGCAATAGTCCAAAAATATCCACAATCGTACGTACATACAAACGTACGTTTGTGCAAATGAATTGTGTATTGTTTTTCTTGCCGTTTTGTTTTGTGTAAATTACAAACACAGCGGATGGACGAAAAGAAAAAACCGAGAAAGCAGCTGCTGGAAGAGAGTGGTACTAGTGCTTTCTCTGTCGCCCGTCCACGCT